TCTAGGAGTTGCTGGTCTCCTCAGATACAATGAGACCTATGAGAGGCTTGCCAGAGTGTACAAACTCTGTCCATGGCCCTTCTTGCTAAAGCTGATATTTGGGCCCAGCAGGGAATGCTTGGGCAGACTGAAATTACTCTGAAGTATAGCTCATGGAGCCATCAGCATGCAGATGATGGATGAACCTGTGTTTGTGGATGAGGTCACCAGCAACACAGTGGCAAGTGTTTATTTTTAATGTCATGTTGATGTTGGGCTTGCTAATGTGCACTATGGAACAGGCTGCATATACTGGAACAGCAGCCCAGGGAAGTGGTGGAATCACCAACCCTGGAGGTGTTCAAGAAATGTGTAGATGTGGCACTCAGGGATGTGGTTGGTGGGCATGATGGGCATGGGTTTAGGCTGGGCTAGGTGATCTTAGTGGTCTTTTCCAACATTAATCTTTCTATGATTCTATGTGTAATGCAACTCTGCAACAGTTTGTGGAAGTCTTCTCTGGCATCTTGAAGCTACTGTTTGCTGGACAGGACTGTGGGTTACTTTTGCTGATGAGGTTGCTGTGGCCAACTGGTTCTAAAGGATGTAAAGAGATAGCCCTGTCCACCTCCACTAAATTAAACCTTCTGAATTCAGTTGTAGAAGATAGAAGCTGTGATCATATCTGTTTTCTGGGTTATAAAGAGGGTTATAAAAGTTACAAAGCGAAAGGTGTCAAGGAACACTCAAAGTCATAGAATTTAGAATGGCTTGGGTTGGAAGGGACCTCAAAGATCATCCGATTCCTACCTCAGTTCCAAAACCAATTAGCAGTGATACAATGGGAGCAGACCTGCCTTGTCTCACTGCAACAGGCCCTTGAGGCAGCATGCTCAGCCTGCCTGGAGCCCGGCTGTCTGCAAGTTAGCAGTGGAAACTTCCATAAGCTTGGAATAAACCCGCACACCTACAAATTGTAAGACAACAAAACACATTGGGTGAAATCTTGGCCTTATCAAAGTCAAATGGTGCTGGCTGCTGACTTCAGCAGAACACAGATTTTATTCATAAAAAGGAAAAAAAAAAAAAGATTTTTGAATTCCAAAATCAGAGTTAAACTGTCTGATGTAGGGATTTTTTTGTCACAGATACCTGCTTGTTTTCACATGTATTTGCAGGATCTGAACGCCACACTGTCTTTGTGTCTGCAATCCCTGGCTATAGTAGTACTTGCCAAAGCACACCTGGAACACTCATGCATTTGTAACTTTCGTTTCTTGTTTTTATGGTCCAGCAACATTGCTCAGGCCTGTTCAGATGAGTTGGCAATTAGTAACGTAAATATAACTTGTCTGACTTGATTTGTTCTTCCCACACGCATTCCGTCTGTCTCTCTGTGGTGAACCATTTGTAGAGAGGAGAGTAGCAAGGAAGCCTGCTTCGATGGGATGGATGTCACAAAGGTGCTCAGTTCTTAGTAGGAAATCTCATACACCATGGGGAGCAACAGTACTGTGCAGCCACCCTTATGAGCACTCTCACCTGCACTGATCTCTCCTTGAGAATATTCTTGGTCACAGCACTCCTCTGTAAGAGGCAGTGGCTGAGTGTTACTACCCACAAATGGTGAATGACAAACCAAGGAATGCAGTTGGTTTGATTCCTGCACTGCCTGCACACAGCTCGGTGAGACAGACTGGAAGCAAAAGTCCATCTCAGGACATTTAAAGATACAAGAGGTCAGCAGCATGGGGAGGCTTTCTTCTCCAGCCCCATTTCCAGTGATGCCATTCCATTCACTTATTCACTGGGCTGTCACATTGGCTGTGGCAACGCTTTGACAACACTGTATTTTGTGATGTTCGTTAGTTTGTTCACATCCTATGCAGAACCTCAGGTAGTGCACAGGGAAGAGATGTGATTATTCTGACTGTGGCAGGAACCAAAGCTCTTGATCACAGAAGGGCCTTTGAGATGCTTAGTGCTTGGGTACGTGTTGCTGTCACAGTGATCCTAAACCTGTGAATATCTGGTGTTTGTTTGGTAAACCAGCCCATGTACTGACAGTGGCTGCTCCCATTGCTAGCAAAGCTGAGTGAGAAATGCAGCTAACTGATCCTGCAAGATAATTGGCTTAATTGCATTTAAAGCTTGAGGAAAAAGTAGGATCGAAGACTTCTCAGTTTATTAGCAAAGAACCATCGAGTCACAGAATCATTAAGGTTGGAAAAGGCCTCTAAGACATCTAGTCCTACTGCCAACCCATCACCACCATGCCCGCTAACCATGTCCCTCAGTGCCACAAAAGCATTCTTCCTTCAGGTGCTTCCTGCTGTCCCCTTCCTGCACTCACCCTCAGCAGCCCTGCAATGCCTGGGCAGCTACTCTCAAGTGTAGGTAACACTGATCTTTATGTATCAATTATGGAATTCTTTATGATTCATCCTTGCCGAATAGAACCGAAGGAAGGAAAGCTTTGGAATGGCTATTAGCTTAATAAAAGAAAGCCATTTTGAAGTTATTTTAAAATTGCAGTGAGTATGCAACTAAACTGAGATCTTAATTACATTTTAAATTAATGGAACAGCTATTGATTAGTGATTAAGTATGTGCTGTAGCCAGCCCTGACAAATCAGCATTGTTACAAGGGATCATTAAAGAAGTTGTTAAAATTCTAACTGAAGTAGAACTGCTGTGGATAAAGGATACAGAAGTGCTGGGAAGGAGAAGATGACAATGAAATGCATGAGAAGTACATGTGGCTCCAAAAAGTTTGATTGCTTTATTTGTGGAACAAAATGACGACAAAAACTGAGCAATCTTTTAATATGTTAAGAAGTCTGCAAAGTGCTGCTGATCCAGTTCCTGCCTTGGGGTGCCACCTGCACTGCTGGCAATGCATCACTGCAGTGTTATCTAGATAGGGGAGATTTAGGCTTGATATTAGGAATAAATTCTTTACCAGAGAGCAATGAGGCCCTGGTACAGCTGTCCAGAGAAGCTGTGGTGCCCCATCCCTGGAGGTACTCAAGGCCAGGCTGGACTGGGCCCTGGGCAGCCTGGTCTTGTTGGTCGGCAGCCCTGCCCATGGCAGAGAGCTGGAGCTGGGTGGGCTTTAAGGTCCCTTCCAACCCAACCCATTCTGTGATTCTATGATGGCACAAGGCATGCTGCAACACAGGCAAACTTGTAGTCAGATCCTAAAATTCCATAGGACGAAGTCATTAATTGAAGTAGAGTGTTTCAGAATTAAAAGAAAAAGAAAACAAAAAACTGATATAAGGTTTTATAATTGAGCATGCTTTGAATGGTTGATGTGTAATGCAAAAAAGACAAGTTGCTAAAAGAACACTGAGGTGATACAGGTTTCATCACCTAAGCATTAGGGTTTATTAGAACTGGAGATACCAGTAGCCTTCATTTGACATCATAACTCCATGAAGCATGATCCAGGTTTCAGTGACTGTTCTGCTATGACCTCCTTCAAGTGTGTGGGATAAATGGGAGGAATGAGCATGAGGGGTACCTCAGAGTTGGTTGGAAATGTTTAGTAGAGGCTAGGAGCTCTCCCGGGGGAGGAACAGCAGTGTCTTGTGGTTGGAGCACTTTGCTCTCTCAGCAGCCATACTGTTACACTTTTGTCTTTGTCTGAAATTCAGAACTCAGGTTACAAAGTGTCTTTTGCAGCTACAGGATGTGAATTAAAGGAGAATGGATTACTGAAATATAATGGATTGCTGAAATATAAATCAAAGGGTTCAGAAATGACCTCAGGACAGTAAAAATGCCCAACAACATGTAATCAGAACTTACTAATGATTTATACTTAGGTAATGAGGTCACTGTTTTTTGCTTTTTTTTCCCCCGACACACAGGATAGATTTTAGTGCACTACAGACAGATCCCTATTCCTGCTAACAACAGGATGTTCTGATTACAGTTGTAGTGTCTGAGAATCACTGCTGATAAATGGTGGAGGTGGCAGCTCTAAGTACAGTTTCTCATGTAATTTAAAAGGGAGATTCAAAGACATGTTGCTTGATCAGTGGTAAATAGGACCAGCCGTGGCATGCTGAGGCTTAAAAGTCCTTGCCAGATTTTGGGATTAGAAGTTGTTGTTTCAGGCATTAACTCCTCCAGTATCAAAATAATCAGCTGCTCTGATCCTCTCCTTTTCCTTTCTGTTTGGCCAAGATTTACTTACCTTTGCAAGCAGGAACTGATATGCAACATCTTGCTTCTCCCCCCTCTTTTGTGATAGGACTACTGCTTCAGCAAGCTGTTAGGTGTCCAGTGTCTGTGTCACCGTGCTGGGCAGGTTAAAGCTGTGTCCCCGTGGCCTTCCCATTCACTCTGCCATTGGGTCAGGGAATGTGCAGCTGGCTGTAGCTGTGTGGCTATGCTGTGTAAGGCTGGAGATCTCACAAACCAGCTGTTACAGATGAGTGAGAGAAAGCAGTCACAGCAAATTCAGCTATGATCAGGATGCTGTTGATACTGAAGGACATACAGCCTGGGTCACTGTGTGCTCTGTAAGAGCCCTGTGCAGGCAATATTCCTGATGAACGGTGAGCAGCAAGCAACAACTGAAATGCAGTTGTTTCCACTGCTGCGACTTCCAACCAGAGAAAACCCCACGTGTCCTGATGTTAAGACTGACACAGGCTTGGTTGTTTTTTCCTAGGGTCCCCATGGAATTCAGAATCAATGGTTTGTATTTACAATGGTCCTAAGGATGAAATCAGGGTTGGCAGACTGTGATGTGTGAACTCGCATACATATACAGGCACGCAGAAAAAGAAGGATTTTGTTAATTAAGCTGAGACATTTTAGACAGCCTGTGCCTAAACTTCAGCCCTTTTTGGTAAAAGGGACTTTTCTCTTGGGTCTCTTTAATGTCACATTCCATTTACAAGGGTAACCAATGCTGTAACTTGTTTCCCTCTTCCCTATCCCGCAGAAAATGACAGAGAGGAATTTCTTTCAATGCCTTTGATAAGCTCTCTTTCTTTTTGTTCCAGATAACTTCAAACGAGAAGTGCTTGGAGAGCCTGAAGAGTGATGGCGATGCTCTGCTCTGTGCTCTGCAGAGCCTGGCCCAGCCTGCCAGGTGCGTCCCCTCGGGCTTCGGGGCTTTCAGGATGGGAGCTCTCCGCCTCCTGTCTGCCCTGACTTCTTCCAGCATCGCCTCCTGCAGCAGAGGCCCCTCAGGTTTCCACCCTTGGCCCCCTCCATCAGAGCTCTGTGGCGGATCTGGGGCCGGCTTTGATCCCAGCTGTGGCTGGCCACAGTCAGCTGCACTGCCAGCCTGTGCTGGTGCACATCTGTCATGTTAAACTTGTTGTGTTTTTTTATTTCAAACAATCAGTCTCTTTTATAACCGGATGCTGGTCCGTGTTTCTTGGCATGGTGGGTGCGATGCACAATGTGGTAGTTGTGCCCTGTTTTAAAGTAACCAAACTGTGTGGTATGCTTGCAAGCTGATTTTTATTTATTTATTTATTTATTTTTCCTAAATATGCAGCTGAAGAACAGGGATGCTTTTGTTTGCAAATACCTGTGGCTTCCCAGCAAAGTTTTGAGGCTGTGGGCACTGCCAGGGCTTCCTCTGCAAGAACAGAGGTGCTGGTCCCAGCAGCTTGGCCAGACCTCAGCTCCTCTCCCTTGCACTTTCCCTCACCTAATCCTTCCCTTGGATGTATAAATGAATGAATTGCTGTTCTCTGCACCCCAACTGCAGGCTGTTAAGCTCCATTTTGCTCCTGGTGAAAATAAATCAGAGATGGTATTTTATAGATCAGTTCTTGAACCATTCAGTTTGTGCAGTGGTCTCTGTGCTCCCAAACACAGGCAGTGGTCTGGGATGACACCTTGATGTCATCCCAGTGATGGGAGCAGGGATGTGAATAGAGAGGAAATGGTCAGGAAGTGGTGAGTTTGAGGATCTGTGTGCTGGGACACACCAAGCCCATCCTGAACAGCTGCTGACTCACGTTTTTTGTATGACATGGTAAATAATCCAACTAACAAAATGATAGCTCTCCCTAGGGGGGATGCTGGCACTGCCACTGAAGGTGACAGTGATGTGATGGTGGGGAAAGAAGATTTTTTTTCTTGTTTTAGAACGTTTTCAATCTCTCACTGCATTTCAGTGTTAAATGCGCTGCACAGCCCATCCAGCAACCAGCTCTGAGTCTGCCTTTCTGATCTCCTCTAATTGTTATCTGCACAATTCTGTACTCAGAAAACTACATAGTACAGAGTCCAAAATAAGCAGCAGCTTCTCTCGTTTGACTCAAGATGCTCAGGAGACCAAATCATAGGCCAGGCTCCTCTGCTTGCAGCAGTGGCAGGAACGCTCCCAGGAGCTCATGGATTTCATTTTCTGTCCTCCCAGATTTTAAGGAACGCACATCTCTGTCCATTCACCTGCTGAGCAGCCTGGGAGGGATCTAGCCTGCATCTCAAGCATGGACAAATGGCCTACAGGGTAGACAGGGAAAGTCTGGGGTTAGCATGCTCAGTCAAGTGTAGCCAAGTGGCCTTTCCGTATATGAACGTTACAGGCATTCTGCCATCTCCTCAAACTCCCTCTCCTGTGCCATCTTCCCTACAATATCCCTTGTCACCTACTCATTTCAGCCTCCTCTTCTCACCTGTGCTTTGAACCCTGCTAAGAAGCCTTTCCAAACTTCATGCTGAATTGGGAACACAAGCAGACTGATCTCCCAGGCCCTGCCACCCACATACCATCACTAGGTCGGAGTGGATGAGGCGTGTTTTTGCTTCACTTGTTTTTCACAGACCGGTTTCTCCTCTTTCAGTGCAGCAGAAGGAAGACAACAACCAAGCAGTGCCATTGCTGGCAGGGATGTGGCCGGGCAGCACGCTGCTCTCGGTGCTCTCTCCTGCTGCCTTGTAGCAGCTGCCTCTTGCCAAACTCTGTTACGTACTGTTGGCTAGTCAGAACAGGCAGCCCTGGGGTTGGTATGTAACCAACCCATCAGGCTTAGTAGTGAGGTGGAATTCAACCTGAACTTCAAAATGTGGGGTCTTAGCAATGCATTCCTCAGTTGTCAACATGCGTTTGTTTCAGGTAACTGAATGTTCTGCTTTAAGCTGATGCTCGTTGAGAAATCAGTTTACAATGCGGGCTGATCTTTAGGATTTCATGGGCAGTTTTGTGTTCTCCAGAAGACAGTGTTAGTAGGTATTTGTCATTAGCAGCAACAAGGGAAGCTGCAAGTTGGCCTGCTGCTGTACTTCCTGAGTTAATAATGAAGGATGGCAGCCTATTTAAAAAAAACAAACAAACCCAACTGCTTGTTTCTGCATGGGAGAAAGCAGAAGTGGAGTCATTTTCCTCTCAAGCTGTGTGTGTGTGGGATTCATGGGGACATGGTAGATTTTATCTTCCCGTTCACGGAGGAGATTGAGCAAGGCAGCAGTTACTGTGAATTTAAACTGGGTCTCATTTTTACACAAGATCTGCTGCAGGATAAAATCACTAGTTGCGCGTCCTTGCTCAACAGGAAAATGGGATAAAGTTACTCAACAGGCAATGCTGAGAATCTTCCAGCATAGATAATTGCAAATGGGGGGCTTAAACACAAAGTTTTCCCTTGGGAGTATTTAACAGCTGTCACTATGTTCAATTCCTAGCTCTCACGCTGATGTTGCTGTTGCCTCCCTGTCATCTGAAATTCTGAGAGCAGTGGCAGATGAAAATCCAAAGCTGACCAAGTGAACTACTTTGGACCAGCCCACCAAAATGCACAGCTGTGTGTGATGCTCAACACTGTCCTGAATCAACGTCTTCACACAAGCAGAGCAGTCCTAATTCACTGAGTCGTGAGCCACAGGCATGGTTTTGGCTTCTTCAGAAAGAACAGCTTTCTTTTTTATAGCCCCTTATGGGTGAATTCTTGATTACTGTTTTACCTTGCTGGCAGTGTGTGATGTAGTGTGAGTGCTTGACAACTCGAGTTTGAGAAGAGCAAATAAAATAAATAGTTTAGTTGTTTCACAGTATGGGCTGGAAGTGTTTCACTATTCTAAGGTGTGTTAGAAATGTGACATTGGTGCCTAAAGCAACTGCATGTTGCTGCCACACCTAGAAGGCAGGGACCTTCCTGAGCTGCTGATACCAGCCCACCTTTGGACAGCCCTTTCTCCAAGTGGGGAGGCAAGCCAACAACACAAGGTAAACAAACTGACCTCACCTTGTACTTTCTACTGGAATTGCTTTCTTACAAAACCTTTACTATCACTGTATATATCCCTTTCTAAAGCCTGACAGCTGGAATTAAGAGCTGGAGGTTTCAGAAAGGAAGAAAATCCTGCACATTATTTGGTGAAATGTTTTGTAATAACCTTCTAGTGCACATTTTGCTGGGAGGAGTGAAACTGGGTTACTCAATGAGAGGTCGCCATAGCTGCAGTTCATCTGCTCTGTAAGCAGAGGAAAGCACTTCTGTAGTTTGCTTCAGCTCTCATCTCCTTGGGATCCTACGATGAGCTGTGATCCTTTGCAGCTTTTTCCCCTTGTGATCTTCTGCTGGCAAGCTGCTGCTCTGAGGCAGGATGAGCACTCTGGGCAGAGGCTGGTGACAGCTGCAGAGTGCAGATGTGCACAGTCTATAAATTAGCCAGCAGTTTAGAACGGCATTACTCACTTCCAGCTGCACAGGTGCTGCCTCTAGAGAAAGCAAGCTGCATGTAGGTCCTATCTCAAGTGGGAAGTGAAGGCTGAGTACACCTGAAAATGAGTTAAAGCTAGGGGAATAGCTGAGAATTGTGAAGGACCTTCTCCCCCTCATGCTGACAGTATGCTTCTGACATATGCTGCTTCCTAATTTTCAATTGATTTTTTGGCCATAGGGCAGTATGTGCCTCGCAGGCCAGGCACTAAGTGTAGCTGCCTTGCTGAGGAAGCTGCTGCAGCAAAGCAGCTGCAGTTCAAGAGAAAAAATACTGCAGGAGGAAGCCTCTGTGGTTATAGCTCTGAGCTCTGAAGGACAGAATAGTCCTCAGTGGGATGGTTTCTGCCTTTGAAGTAGTGAAAGTGTTGTGCAATTTGAGAACAGGTTTTGGAAGACCTGTCAAAGCATAACTATACAGACTGAAATAATTTGACACAGAGTGAATTAAAAGTTTACTTTAATTTTGAACCATTTTATAACTGCATTTTTCTCATGAAGCATCTGTATCACAGCAGGCTACAATAACTTTGGGATAAAAGGCAACTGGTAAACTGTCCAATACAAGGTTCCAAATAAACAGTTCTTACTGGCCCCTACCCAGACATATCCCAGATAAAGTTTTTGATCAAAAACATGAAATAGATCCACCTGCTTATTTTAAGCATATTAAAAAGGAAACTAATTGGACCATTTCTATTTGTCTAGTTTTTTTATACAAAAAGGCTACACAATGTTACACTTTATTCAGAATACAGTTAGAGCGATTATGAATTAGTGTTCTACACCTTTACTCAATCCTTAAAAATTAGAAACTGCTGTAGCATGTTCACTATAACTTAATACTACGAGAGACTTAAAAAAAAACAAAACTAACAACAGTTACTGCAAAAAGAAAGGCTACTTTCAAAGCAAGCAAAGGTCAGTACCATTACAGAGATTTAAAAAAAATAATAAATTTTTAACAAGCAAGGCTAGGGTTTGATAAATTCCATCTTGCAATTCATTCTTGTGCATTCCTCATTTCTTGAATCACTCCCAAAATCCATTTGTATTATTACTCCTCGACCAAAAAGGACCAGAACAAAAAGTTTACTTCAATTGTTCCCATAGGAAACTCAGCTTGGTTAGTGTGTCAGGCACTTTCTGAGATACTAGCCCACCCCTCGAGCCCTCTCAGCAACTCTACAGGCCAATCAATGCAAGTTCATTCAGATGATACAGCTGCAAAGAAGAAAAAAAAGATTAAAATGTCAGTGTTCCTTAGTAAACAGCATTTTAACATAAAGACTGCATGAAGCTGGTGATGCACAAGACATTACAGTTAATTACTTCCACATTTAACGGCAGAAGTCAGTTTGGATTGTAGGAGTGTAGTGATTGTGTGTCTCCAGAGCTTTTTTTTTCAGTATTCTGTCACACTGGGACCCATTTAAGCCATTCCCTCCCTGCCAACCAAGTCCTGAGTCCAGTAATTCGTTTCTCTCTTTTTGTTTTGTTTTTAAATTCAAGATTGGAGCTTCTTACCTAAAGGATGATTTACAGGTCAGTATCGAACCAGGCCAACTGATTACTGTCACCTGGAGGCAGCCCATCCATAAGGTCCTGGGCATGGCCAAGATCTGGCAGCCCATCAACTGGGTAGTCAGCACCAGGGTGGTGGCCACCCATTTCATGTTCCATCATAGGGTCCATACCCAAGGCATCCTGACCGTATCCGCCAGAGTGGAAAGAACGGTAGCTAGGATCTAGGAAAGTTAAAGGTGGCAGAGGGAAAAAGAGCATAATGTTAACAGATGTTAGACGCATCAGAAGCTGCAAGTATCAGTGTGTGAGAAGATCGTTGTAGCCATCTAATTGTTTTTCTAGTTCAGCCAAGTTCAAAACGATCTGCTGCCTGCCCTTAATGACTATTCCATCGTTTGAAACAGCCTTCCAGTGTGATTCTGCAGACAAAGCACACTGCAGTCAGAAGCACGAGCAGATTCCAGCCAAGCCATTAGTCTGCACAATCAACAGTACTAAAATCCAACAATACTACAGCAAAACCGGGCTACGAGACTGCAGACTTTCTTCTGAAAGACTAGTCAAAAATAGCTCAGAACCCGTGGGGATAGGCTTGAGTTTAAGTCTACAGACACTTAAAGACTAATATATACAGTACCAACATTTGTTTTAAAGAAAACTGCACTTTTGGAATTGTCAAGTCCATCTGTAAAGGATTTAAAAGATTTCTGGAAACAGTAGCTCAGTGGGAGATTCTCTTGCAAGACTCAGACAAGCAACACCAATTTTGCACATTCATATGGCTCCCATTTCAGTGCAGCCAGAGGTGTTGCAGAAACTGCTTATTTGAGCTGGCAGTTCCCCATCTGCCTGTCAGTTTGCAATATCTTGCTGAAGAGTAATTCACTCTTAAGTCATTTGCAGTTCTCCTTTACAGTCAGTGACTTGACTTTATTCAGCTTAAGCTTAGTCAAGGGGAATGGAACAGACATACCATCTGGGCGGTATCCAAGAGGCTCTCCCTGGGCACCAATGTCAAGTCCAAGATCCGCTGTCTAGATGTGCACAGAAAGTTACAGAACGGTTTTAATGTCAGCTCTTAGGGCCAACGCTAGTAATTGAATTTAAGAAATTCTAAAGCTTGCCACAAATCCTTTTTTAGCAACTCTTCTGCACTGCACACAGCAGTATTACACTTCTGTGAACGTGAAATGTCTTTTCATCCAAGCATCTGCACCCACTGTCTAACAGCCCTATTTAGAGACAGGAGCCATAATCACTGGAAAGAGACTTCTGTTTGGGAACAAGTAGGAAGAGGCAGGTCTGGGAGCACTGCTCTGGTATACCCACCCAACCTCTGTGAGTCAGCTGGATAGAGATTCCTGAGCTAGCGACAGAGCACTTAGTTCCCACTGCACTTCTCCTGGTCTGTCAAATTACTGAACTGCATCTCTGCAGTGTAATGAAACAACCTGTATTTCAAAGAGATCTTCCATTTTTGCTTTTTTTCCTCATGTTACTATGTTAGACGGATACAGACTTTAGGAAATCAGAAATGAGCATTTAAATACTACAAGTCAAAGGCTGCTACCTATTATCAAGATAAAACTCCTGAACCTCAAGGATCTGGGGAAAGACAGACTTAGTGAAACATGCCCCAAAGGCAGTTTTCAGTCTCAATTCACTGTGCAGGACTTTAAGCATGAAAAAAACTTCATGTGATAGCTTGCAAATACTTCCAAGTCTGAGAGCTCAATTCTCAACTAAGGAGAACACAAACGACATACCCACACCAAGCTTCTTAGTCCTACAGGGTTTGCTAAGAGTTCTTACAGGATAATGGTATGGTTATGCTTTGTATCCTATCATTCTTTCCTCAGCATTTGCCACCAGAATTCATCAGGTTTGAACAATCTGCAAAAAGTGGCTGAAATTCCTAGAGGTTACTGCCGAGCTGTCCTTTGAAATCAGAAGCAGCACAGAGACGTACAGAATTCTTATACACAGCTTTACACAGAGCAAAACGAGATTTAGAAACTTCAGACTCTTCCTATCTGAAAAGAAAGCACTAAAGTAGCAGCTCTAAGACTGCTCATTCTTCATTCTACTTGAGCAACTCAGTAGTCTTAGAAGGGTTTCCTGCCCTATGCAGTAGATTCCCAAGACTGTCAGCATCACCTGTTTATGAATAAATTGTTCTCCTAGGACAACAGTAAGCACTTGAAGCTTGCCTAATTTTCTGCAAATCTATGAGCACGTGTTCACTGAACCTGAACATGCAGAGTAACGAAGCTACAGACGTGTAAAACTGAACCCGTATCACTGATGGCATCTACACTTCACTACTGGAAGGAGGGGGGACTTGAAAGTGAAGTCTGCCCAAGGTGCCATTCATACAGGGACACAACTCACCTCGTTCCAAGCCATTGGCTCAGTCCGGAACAGGGAGCTTGTCAGTTCAACTGAAAGTCGCTTCTTGTAGTCTTGTGGTTTGTCCTCAGACATTCTGAACAGCACTGCAGCTGCATATGTTGCTATTAAAAGAAGCAAATTTAGTCAACATCAATTCTTCTAGCAACTTTTCTAACTTAAAGTATGAAACTTCTTTTTTTTTAAGTTCACTTACCAACACCCTCATTCCTAGAATGAAGCAGTTCTGTTAAAGGGGCAGTTGCACCTTCAGCTTCAATTGCTTCAGCTGCTTCCTTGTCTTGGGCAAGTTCACAAAGTACACCCGCAGCTACTCTCTGGATATTCTCAATGGGGGAGTACAACAACTGCAATCAAAACACAGGGTTTCTTTTAACTCTTCTGTCTGAAAAGTAC